CATTTCTTGTTGCTTTAAAAGACAATTAAAATTGTTTATACAGCTGGAAACATTCTTCTTCTTTTCTGGTTTAAAGAGACTTCTTGTAGGGGTTCAATTTTGCAAAGAAAGCTTAGGTGTCATCAGGGCACTTGGAGTAAATACAGCATTAACTTTTGTCTGTTTTTCCTTAGTGCGTTTTTTACCTCATAATTTCTCCTACCCCACATATCCAGTTTTCCCACAAAACATTTTTCAGATATAATAGGAAGGCAAATTATGCGGTGATAGGGCCTGGGAATATGATTTATAGTTTTCAAAAGGCAGTGAGTTTTGGAAGGGCGATTTGAAATTATAACAGACCCTGACCAAAATACTAATTGGAAATTTTTAAAATTATGTTTATACCTGCATACAATTTAAAAAATAAAATGGTTCTATATGACGTATGAAAAACAATAGTCCTCTAATCTTACCCCTACTCCATTCTACTTTCCTATTGTTGTTTTACTGTGTCTCATGGATTTCAAATTTAATCCTGTTTTGGGCAACATTTTCCTTCTGCTACCAACCCTTAAATGCCTTTGAGCCCCTCTTAACATAGAGACTTCACCTCATTTATTAATGTCCACAAGTTTTAGTAAGTATTTCACAGTGCCTACTATATGAATGTCTAGTACCCAGCATTTATTTGTCTTTGTTATTCTCACTTGTTTTACCACACATAATTCGTTTGGACTCCTTTCATTTTTAGAGCATTTGTACTTCCTTATGACTGAATATTATTCCATTTGTGAATATGTCATATCTTAACTGAGCCGGTCTTTATTAATGGGCACTTAGATTGTAAATAACTGCAATAAACATTGCACACGCAGTAAATAGTTTTTGTCATTGATGGATAGGTGAGCAGAAGTGGGACTTCTAGGTCATGTGGTACTTCCATTTTTAGGTTTTGTTGGTTTTTATTTTTTTAATGTCTACACCAGTTTATTGTCTCCCCAGCAGTTTAAGTGTTCCTCTTTGTCTGCACTGCTCCCATGCCAGTCTCACAGGTTGACATGGTGCCTCATTGTGGCTTTAACCTGCATCTCCCTTGTTAGAAGCAATGGTGAATATTTTTCTATGTATCTATTGGCTTACTGGATAATCACCTTGGTGAATTTTCTATTCAGCTCCATTGCCCATTATTAAATGAGATTTGGGTTTTTTAATTAAATGATGTAGGTTTTTATATATCTTGAGTATTAACCCTGTATTAGTTGGGTAATGGAGAGTATTATTTCTCATTCAAATAGGAATACAATATATGTTGTTTTTTAATCTATAAACCTTTTAAATTTGAATTTATCCCAATTGTTTAATTTTGTTTTTATTTCCCTTGTCGTAAGGGGTAAGTGCTCCCAAAATACTTTTATCTTTGATATCATGGAACATGTCACCTCTGTTTTCTTATATATATATTATTGTTTCAAGTGTTATATTTAAATGGTCAAACCTGGGGCCTCTCTGGTAGTGCAGGGGTAAAGTATCAGCTCTATAAAGCTATTGCTAGCCACTGTGTAATGAATTGGATCCCTGGCCAGGGAATTGATCCACATAGTGCAGCAGCCCTCTTCTGTCTTGCCTGCTGCTCCCCTCAACAGTGTATTTCAGTCAGTCTACCTGTTCTGCTCCCTACTCTGTCTCTGGTGAATCCTCTCACCCCTGTACCTCTGGCCTATACCCAATTCTTGTATGCATAAATAAATAAAAATATATCTTAAGTGGTTAATCCTTTGGTAATTATTTTAGTGCATAGAGTAAGAATGATCCATCTCATTCTTTTACATGTAGCCTTCTAGTTTTCCCAGCATCATTTATTAAGGAGACTACTTTTGTGGCTATTGCTGATTTATCTAAATTAAGTATTGATATATGAGTGGATTTATTTATGGGTCCTCAATTCTGTTCCAGTAACCCATACGTCTATTTTTGTGCCAATGCCATGCTATTTTTAGTGCTGTTGCTTTATATTATAAAGTCTGGTAGCATGAAGCCTTCATTTTTCTCCTCTTTTTTCAGGATAGCTTTTGTGATTTGAACCTTTTTTGTACTCCATATAAACAGTTTTTTTTTTTCAGTTTCTTTAAAGAATATTGGTGGTGTTTTAGTGGAGATTGCATTAAATCTATCAGTATAAGCAGTGTAATTATTTTAGTTATATTTACTCTCCCCATCTGTGAGCATGGAATATCTTTCCATTTCTTATCTTTAATTCTTACTATAGGTTTTCTTTTCTTTTCTTTTTTTGTATATATGTGTTTGCCTTCAGGGTCTCTAAGTGGCATGACAATGTTGAGATATGTCTTTTATATATACACACATATATGTATATGTATGTTTATAATATTAAAACTTATAATACTGCCTATAATTTTTAATACAAGGAATTAGTCTTGTTTTCCAGCTTTGAAAGACCAGAATTAAGTCCGTGTGCTTCCCAGTCCCTATAGAATTATATTCTTTCTCAAAACAATGTCGGTAATAGATTTCTTTTACCTGAGTTCAAATTATAACAGCTAATATTGGACAATGGTTCTTTGATTTCTTTCATGCACCAAGAAGAATGTGAGGCTAATGTAAAATTACATCCCACTACAAGAGTTCATGATTCTTATCCCATCTTTCCAGTGTAGTCTCCTGTCCTTGATTTAAGTCATTATTTAGTGCTCACATTATTAGCTTAAGTACTATGCACAGCCAAGTTACGCAGTTTCCTTAGTTCTCCTTTCCTGCACAGTATTTTATTTCCTATAGAGTCAATAATTGCCTTGCTTTTGCTTAATATTTTTCTGTGTATTTATCAGTCCACATGTGACTTTTCTCAGTACAGTTTGAGCTATTGATTGCTCTGTTTATTTCATTTCCTTGAAAATGCCCCTTGGCTCAGTCATTGGCTACGCACTTTCTAAGTCTGCTTCACACAGCTTATTGGCTTTCCCGTGATAGACATACTAGCTAATTTCATTTCTTCTTTTGTTCAGGGCTTATTCCTTTGCTTTGTAGATCATATCCCCTGTTATTTCCTGAAAAAAGTATAAATAGTTTGTATTTTGAAATCTTGTGTATATGAAAATGGCATTAGTAATTTATCTTTTATTTTATGGTCAGTCAATAATATAGCTGGGTATAATATAGCTGGGAATTATTTCCCCTCAGAATTGGGAAGTGTTTTGTTCTAAGCTTTCTGTTTTCCAATATTGCATTTGAAAAAGCCTGGTTGTTGTGCCTTGTATGAATCTCACTTATTTCTGGAGGATGTAGGGTCATGTTCGCCATCAGTTTCTAAAATTGCATGATGTGGAGTCTTGCTATTTTCTTCTGTGAACTCAGGAGATTCCTGAGTTAGAAAATTTATATCCTCTGTGTGGTGTGTTCAACACTTTCTAGAGTTACAATGAAACATGTTTCACAAAGTCTGGAATGTCATCATTTTTAAATGACAAGTAAGGTGTTGGAATGATTAAATTGCCTAACCAGAATTTAAAAGCATGGTGACAGGCGTAAAATAGAGGCAATCATACAACAAACAAAACAAAGTTGTTCAAGTCCTAGAATCCAGCTCAGACTTGTAGCAGAGAAAGATAGAGATATTTATAAATTTTCTTCACTTCTACTAGAAGGAAAGCATGCAATTCTACCCACACAATTTCATAAGATTGAAAATACAGATTACTCATTTGCTTGTTTCATTTTGGTTCCTACAAATCACGTATTGGAAAATATTATATATTTGACTGCCCCAAATTCAAGGTACCTTACTTTACCTAAGGTAATAAAATAATTGTTCTCTAAGTCAAGCGTGTGAAATATGTCTCTCTATTTTCCCTAGAAATTTTTCCCCAACATGGCATACCTTAAGGTAGCAAATCAGTCTAGCAGTTTTTTAAAGTTGGGTAAACATTTGCTAAAACATGCTATTAAAAGAGCTGATATCTAAGGAAGGTTCTGAAGCATACTGCATCTCTAGAACCATATTCTGTTCAATGACCACCCAAGGAATAGTGACAGCAGAGTGGGCAAACTTCATGATGGACACTTTATGGCTCTTAGTATAAGCTTGTATAGGACAAACACTCCTCTGTGTCTCCTTTACTCTCAAGACCCTAGACTCAACATTTCTGTGACCATATGTAGGGGCAGGGGCAATTTTACCTTACACCAAAAAATTTTTCAACTTTCTTTCACTCAGTTCCAACACTGGCAACATGGAGATAGAGACTTAGCCCAGTTGTTAAGACTTCAGCTCACACTGACTGATGTGTGAGACGCCAGCCTCACAAGTTCAGACTGTTACTTGTGCTTCTGACTGACCAGCTATAAATCAGATTCCCATCATCTATCATACTCAAGCCCTACTAATTTGCTAGAGAGACTCACAGAACTCAGGAAAACCACCTAAGTATTGATTACCAGGTTATTACAGAAGGCTATAACTGAGTCTGCCAGAGAGGTGACATCACAGGGCAGCGTCTGGCAAGGGCAGGGGACTCTATGATCTCCACTTAACTCTCTCCTCTACTTTTCACCAGCCTGGAAGCTCTGCAGCCCACCATCCTTTTGCTTTATTTATTGGAAGCTTCTTTATGTGTGCATGATTAATTTTTTGGCCATTAGTGATTAACTCAACCCAGCCCTTCTTCCTTCCCTGGAGGTGGGGAAGTAGAACTGAAAATGCAATCCTGTAATTACCTAGTTGGTTCCCCTGGCAAAGAGCCTCCAACCTTAGGTGCTTTCCATAAGTCATCTCATTCCCACGAACTCAAGTGTGATTGAAAGAAGTTTAATGTGAGTAATATACATTTATCTCTCAGGAAATTCCAAAGGTTGTAGAAGCTCTGTGTCAGGAACTAAAACCAAGACCAAATATATATTTATTATAAATCACAATCATATAACTTAACTCTGAATATAAATAGTAATTATAGCGCACATTTTATGTGGACTAACAATGAATCTTGTTTTCTCTTTTCCACCAGCTTTTTGGAGACTGGGAAGCCCAGCTGCGGAGAATAATGAAGCTCATTGCTGGTGGTGGCTTGTCTATCACTGGCTCTCACAACATGTGTGGGGACTATCTGTATAGCGGCCACACAGTCATGCTCACACTCACCTACTTATTTATCAAAGAGTGTAAGTCTACTTTAAACTAAAGTTTCTCATCTGCCATTGTCCGTGGTTTCTGGAAACTTAAAGTAAGACTGGAGACATTGAAAGAGCATCAGCTGTTTCTTCTACAGACCCAGATGTGGCAGGCACCCAGGGAAATAGCTCTGGAGGAAGGAATTGCTCTTCTGGATGAGAATGTTGTTTCCTCAATGTCAACTGACGTATTAGAGTGTTCTATAGCTACAGGAAGGAGGCAGAAGGAATTTTCATAACGATACAAAATCTAGTGTCTGCTTGGATCATGGGTTCACTCAGAGGCTGTGTTTTAAGTGCCTAGCACTGAGCTGTCAGCTGAGAATAAGGGTTTGATGTTTCCATTCTCATAGAAATGACAGAGACTCTAATGATCAAGAGTAGGACATTTTCTTCTAAAGTGTACTTAACGTATTTTATATTGAAACAAAGAAATATTACTGCTATACACTGTTAGCTGTAATATATATTAGTATTTATCATATCTGTTTCAGATAACCCTTAAAACTGAAGTGTTATATATGAATAAGCCCATTTATCCTTTCCTTTTCCATTTTCCTATATCATTTTTTGGTTTTTACAATTTTTGACTTAGATCAAAAAACATGCATATTTTTATATTTTTCATATCATTGTTTTATGATTTTTGAAAGTTCCATGAATGATAGCATGCTATATATCATCTGCTGTTTTTCTCTTTCATATTATTATTTTGCAAGACATCAGACTCTGTTTCATTTTTATTGCTGTTACTATTTTTTTTTTTTTAAGATTTATTTATTTGTACATACAGAACTGGGGTACAGGCCAGAGGCTCAGGGACGGTGAGAGGCTTCACCAGAGACAGAGTGGGGAACAGAACAGGCAGATCGACGAAGTACACTGCTGAGGGGAGCAGCGGGCGGGTCAGGAGAGGTCTGCCACGCCATGTGGTCTCCTCCGGGGCAGGCGGGAATCGAACTCATGTGGAAGTGGCTTTAGATTCTCAGTGCAGTGCTTTAACCCGCTGCGCCACCAGGGAGGGCCTGCTTTTACTATTTTAATAGTATAAATGAACCACAGACTCTTTATTTCTCTAATTCTAGAACATTCACTTGTCCTCAATATTTTAACATTAGTAGCAGTCTCAAAGAAATGATAAAAAACAGTTTCCGTGGAGAGTGACAAGTAGAACCAGGTCGCTGGTACCCCAGAGGGGGCACACACACACTAGTCAGTTAGTGTTTAGGAAAGAGCATGTGACACTTTATGGAACTTTAGTGTTGTTGGAATTCAGAGTAGTAATCAGAATAATACTCAGAAGTAATTATAAAAAATGAAAAATGAACTGAGAAGTAGGAACCAGATCACAGAACATTCTTTGAACCATAAGAAGGAAACCTAAGTTCCATATTATGAAAATATGGTGTTCACTGTAATCAGAGGGGCAGTGTCATCATGTTTGTCCTCTAGCAAGAAAGAAATCACTCTTGTAACAGCTTGCAGGATGGAGTGGAGAGGGGCATGGTTGAAGACCAAGAAGAAAGTTAAGATACTAGCAGCTTCTGTAATCCAGGAAAGAAGGTGGTGGTTTGACCTACCATGATGCTCTTAGGGATGAAAAGAGTGGAAGAAACTGAGAGTGATTAACAAAGAAAAGTCAGCATGTAATGAGATTGATTTTGAGGACATAGGTAAGGGACAGTTGTTGGACTGAAAGATGAAAGCACCGTTTTGGTTTTCAAATATTAAAGGATTATTGTTTTTGTGTCCTTTGGGTAAATACTTAGGAGTGGACTTGCTGGATCATATGGAAGCTCCATATTTAGCAGTTTGAGAAACCTCTACACAACTTTCCATAGTGGTCTAACCGGTTTGCATTCCAACCAGCAGTGTAGGAGAGTTCCTTTTTTTCCACACTCTCGCCAGCATTTGTTGTTGCTAGTTTTTTTTATTATGTACCATTCTCACTGGTGTAAGGTGGTCTCTCATTTTAGTTTGCTTTGCATTTCCCTTATTACCAGTGATGCTGAACATATTTTCATATGCCTATTGGGTAGCTCTTTTGCCCATTTACAATAGGGAAGAAATGGAATCAACCCAAATGTCCAAAAATAGATGAACTGATAAAGAAGATATGGTATATATACATAATGGAATATTACTCAGCAATCAAAACAGATAAATTCATGCCATTTGCAGCCACATGGAACTAGAAAAGATCATGCTTAACGAAATAAGCCAGAAATAAAAAAAAAATTACTGGATGGTTTCACTCATAGCAGGAGTATAAGGAAAAATAAAATCTTTGCATTGATAAAATACATAATTTTACAAAATATTAAAGGAAAGCAGGTGAAGAGATGATGGATTTCAGGGCCTACGAAAGAGAAAGGAGAGTAAATGTTCTGCTTATTCTTAGTACATGACCAAACAGAATGAATTCTAATTGTGTCTACTCACAATTGTCAGGGCATGATTTCGCCCTTGTCTGGGGTGTTACTAGGCATAGAAAATGGGAACGGAACACGCCTGATGTCAGCAGCCCTGGGGGTGAGGATTGGGGTTCCTGCCCCCTTCTGGCTGGTGCCTGAAGTACTTTAATATGGGGTTAAGCCTTACTCTTCTTAAAGATACAGCTCTGTGCTGTGGTGGAAATTCCTGAAGACTTGGGCCATAGACTCTGATAGTGAATCCTGGTGCTGTCACTGTCCTGTCAGTGGCAAGGGTAGAGGGGAGACCTTTATACTCTGTAAGTCTGCATTTCTCTTCTTTAGAACAAGATACTGATAACTAGCTCATGGGGGAGGGAGAGGTTGTGAAACTTGGAATAGATGGTATTTGTAGACATTAATAAAATTGCTTGGAGAAAGTTGCTTCTATGTGGTGGTGTATTATTTGGGTATCAGATTTTTCTGGAAAGGGAATATGGAGGACTATACATATATAACAACCTTACCAATACCACTACTACATTGAAATTACAAACGTCTCTTTACCTTTACTTCTGATCTGACTTACCCTATTCGACTTTATTTTTCCATAACATTTAACACCTAACATGGTGTATAATTATTTATTATAATTAGTATTTCTTTTCCCTACTAAGGAGGGGGCTCCTCACAGAGGAGACAATTTGCCTGTTTTGTTCACTCACCCCAGTAGCTAGAGCAGGTGCTGTCCTGCTTGTAGTAAATGCATGCTAAATATAGACTGAATGAATGATTGACTCTTGTCTCCTTGAGAATCAAATAAAATCCTGAACTTCTTCCCAGGCGGGAGAGTAGGTCATATTCAAATATTTTTGCCTAAAATATCAGCCCCCCCCCCATGAGCCTGGGAAGACCTGTATTCATAGAGATCTTGATGCTTCCCTCAGTTGACATCCCCCATAGAATATAGACGACTACTACTACAAGTATTTATTTTACATTGCCCTGACTTTAGGAATGCACTTGGACTAGAATTGAATCTCTAGGCATTTTGGATATTCCATCAGTTGTGTTTGAAAATGGAAATTTCAAAGACTTTCAGACTAGTACATGGTTGCAATGCTTAGAAAGCAAGTAAGACAGTTTTATAAGTTTTGCCTAGTACTTGTGTAAGGATTTCTAGACAAAAAGTACTTATTTGTATATAGAGCATTCATGCCAAGTTATTTATAGGTAAATTTAGTTAAATGTCAGTAGCAATATTTTTAACAGAACTTGATCTGTTAACCTGCCCCTATTTGTCCTTGTAAACCTTGGGGACTGCAGGTAAGGTGGGACTGGGTGCCCTTAGTGGCACTGGAATAATGGAGTTACTGCATTTTTCCTCTGTTCAGATTCCCCTCGACGACTGTGGTGGTACCACTGGATCTGCTGGCTTCTCAGCGTGGTTGGAATCTTCTGTATTCTCTTAGCACATGACCACTACACTGTGGATGTGGTGGTGGCATATTACATCACCACGAGACTCTTCTGGTGGTACCACACCATGGCCAATCAGCAAGTAAGTTTTTCCTCCCATTTGACTTCAACTTCAGTTGCTCCTGGCTTGATGTAAATGGTGTGGCAGGGGGGAGAGTATGAAGAATCTACAGATATCTTAGGTTTCTCTCTTAAAAAAAAAAAAAGGATTTATTTATGCATACAAGACCAGGGGTATAGGTCAAAGTCAAAGGTGCGGGGTATAAGAGGATTCACAATGGACAGAACAGGCAGCTGTACTGAAACACACTGCTGAGGGGAGAAACAGATGAGATAGGAGAAGTTGCTGTGCCATGTGGGTCACCTCCCTGGCCAGGATTCTAACTTTCACTGCAGTGGCTGTGGATAGAGTTACAGTGCTGTGCTTTAACCCCTTGCATCATTAAGCAGGATCAGGTTTCTCTTTCTTTAATGGGTAGTAGGCTAATATTATTTTGTTTTTTGTAATGATCCATTTCACAATCAAAATGGAAAAGAAATGGGTTTATATAATGACATAAGGGACAGTATTCCATAATATAATGACATTAGTTAGTATAGTGACATCACAGAACACCATCATTGTGCCTGAAAATTATTCTCTGTATCATGGCTACCTGCTGCTTGATTTGCATTCATACTCTTCCTATTGTTGGCCCTCACCAACATTTCATTAAGCCTGTTCATTTTTATTGTAAAAGAGAAAGTAACTAAAAATCAAATTGAGATAATTACTTACAGATAGGAGAATAAGTAAGCTATGAGTTTTCCAGTCACTCCCAGAATTGGGGTTTTCTGCTAAGGTGTTAATCCAGTTTACAGATGATTGCAGAGTATAGAATGTTGGCCTTAGAGTGAAACTGGTAATAGGCATGTGGATAAACATGGGGTGGGTCTGGAGTCTGAGTTTTAACATGACAAGTGCTTGAACTTCCACTAAAGATAATGAGAAAATGTGTGTTTGTTGCTCTGGGATCCGAAACGATGAATTGTTCTTCCTGACTTTGATTGGCTTTTTTGTTATCATAGGTGCTAAAAGAAGCTTCCCAGATGAACCTCCTGGCCAGGGTATGGTGGTATAGGCCATTTCAGTACTTTGAAAAGAATGTCCAAGGAATTGTGCCTCGATCTTACCATTGGCCCTTCCCCTGGCCGGTAGTCCACCTTGGTAGGCAAGTTAAATACAGCCGGTTGGTGAACGACACATAACAGCTGTACAGAGTGGGGAAAGAGGAACTGTCCTAAGTGCTAAGAACTCCATGAGAGAAGATGCCATAAAATAAACACCTCCCTAATCCTGTTCTCTTTCAACAGTTACCTTGACTTAACCTATTGATTTACCTGGTCAGCACTGTGATCTTTTTTTCCTCTCCAAAGGACCTGCGTTGGACAACAATAAAGAAAATTTAACCTATCATGCACTGTACACATAACCCTGTTCATAAGTTTGGGATTTACATAACCTGCGACCACCATGTTCCTTTGTATATGATGCAACAGCATAAATGTAAGCTTTTATATCATAAGTTCTGGTCTTTCCAGGCACATCTGGAAATAAAGCGTATTATTTTCTTGGGAAAACATACTTTCATATCTCTTGCCCCAAATATTGGGCTGTAAGCCATTTTCTAGTAAATGTCTCTATGAAGGTTTCTAAATACCTGAATGGGGTTTGATTCTGAAATCTTTCTACCTGTTGCACCGATATTCAAATAAAAATGACAGACACAGAAAGGTTTGGTAACTTTGGGTTTTGTAAAAATCAGCAGAGACAGTATGTCAAAAAGTGCAAAAAAGGATTCTGTTACAAAGTGATTTTATAAGTATTTCCTAACTTTATTTTTCAAATGATATTATGAAAACCAAATTTAAAGATTTTTACATGTCAGAGAGAAGAGAGTTGAAATTTAAAAATGCTTCTTGGGAGAGAAATTTGTCTATGTTTCTAGTGCCTTTCTTGTCTTGATTGTATGGTCAGTAGGCAATCTTAATGTTTTTATTTAAAATAAAGTATTCCATGAAAATATAAATATGTGTATACACTACTAAATTTTGCATTTATAGCTAAATTAAATCAGAAGGCTGCTTATGGTTTTTAAATTGCTATGAATGAATTAAAGATTGGGGAGTTAATTAGAAAGTCAGAGCCTGTTCCCATATTGTGAGCAGGTGGCTACCATGTACCACTTGAATTATTTTATCTCCTATTTGGTAGTTCAATTTTAACTATACTATGAAAACAGCCATGAATACTTTTTTTTTAAGGAGAGTTTTGAAAATGATCACTTAACTAAAACTTGAAAGCTATAAATTAGTTTATCCATACTCTCATGACAATTTTGTTGATGAACAACAGAACAGAGATCTATTTCTTTAAAATATATTTGTGCAGAAACTGCATGTAACTCTAAGTTTACTCCTAACATAAGTATGTTTGGGGAAGTATTCTATTCTATACTTGCCAATGTGGAGAACAAAATAGTTTTATAAGAATGAAGAAGTATATCTATCCATTCTGTATTTTACGTGCAGCAGAATTATCTTCCGTAGGACTTTTTTGTGTATTCACAAGGTGATATTTGTATTGTAAAACAATAATGGTGAAGGAAATAAAAAGGCTTTTAAATTTTGTTTGTTTTAAATCTTTGTAAAGTTATTATTTCAGAGAGTATACTGATACCTTAACAGCTTACCTAGATCATAAATTAATCAAAATGCACTTTTTAATAAAAACTGATACCTAAAATAAGTGGCTGTTATTTCTAATATGTTGTTATTATTCACAGATGTTTTAAAGGAAGTCATTAAAGCCAGATAAAAATCTGAGGCTTGGAATTCCTTATCTAAGTTCTTTGAAGATGGGGCTCTGGTTAATTACATTTCTTTTCACTATAGATTCCTTATATGTACTCTTAATTTTCAGTAGCCTATGGGTTACGTGTATTTTTTTTAATTTATTTATTTATACAGAACTGGGGTACAGGCTAGAGACGCGGAGGGTAAGAGGATTCACCAGGGACAGAGTGGGGAGCAGAACAGGCAAATCTACGAAGTATACTGCTGAGGGGAGCAGTGGGCGGGTCAGGAGAGGTCTGCCAAGCCTTGTGGATCTCCTCGGGGCAGGCAGGGATTGAACTCATGCGGAAGTGGCTTAAGCTTCTTAGTGCTGTGCTTTAACCCTCTGCGCCACCAGGGAGGGCTGGTTAAGTGTATTTTTTACAATATATTTTAGAAAGTCACAGATACAGTAAATTCAAACTACCAGGTTTGAATTCTTCAGTCAAGTCCACTAATAGAACTTTTTCTCTCTATAATTTAAAATAATACTGCTTTTTCAATTTAGATGGAAGGAAAAGTAAATATGAAATGGGCAATAGAATAATAGTACTTTGCTAATCAATGGTAATACAAAGTAATTTTAAGAAGTGAAAGATTAGTCCTATAGTGGTTTAAAAATGGGAGCTAGTCATTGTAGACACCTGTCTCTACTTTAAAAAAAAATGTGTTCAAGCTAGAAATGTAAAACTAGTAAGATTTCCTGTGTGGAGATTTGGACAGGTCTCAGAAAAATATATAAGGGCCTCTCGGGCAAACAGGGCAAAATTTTAGAATAGGTTTGTGTTTAACTTTCAATCTTTCCCGGACCTTAACTGTTGACCAGGTGCATATTGATGTGGAAAGCAAGGAGTAATGAAAATAATTATTGGCAAATACTGAAAGTAAGATCTGTTTTCCTCTATTATATTTTTATAAAAAGTTCATTACTACAAGTTTACATACAACATATGTACTAAGTACGTGACTTTCACTTCTTGATTACTCTTCATTGCTAGCTATAGTGCTTAATGAACTGACATGTTTGATGGTGCTGTAGTCTGAAAATCCCAGGAAAAATGAGAAATCTTGTATTCTGGAATAGTGTGGTACAGTTGGTAACACCTGGTTGAATGAGGAGATGTGCATTTTGTCATTTGGTTTGGTAAGCCAAGGGCATAGACAATAATCAGCTTCTTTGTCTTGTTGTCTTTACAAGTCAAGCATTTTAAGTGTATTAACCCTCATACAAGCACAACATGTTGTTAGCCCGTTTAATGTTTGGTGACTCAGATACATTAAATAACCAAGAACATGTTACTGTTAAGTAATGACAATCCAGAGTCTCAGTGTTTACCCCATTGCCCACACAAAATAGTTTCGCAAACTTTTAATAGAGTCTGCAATGAGAGAGTCTGTGATAGCCAGGCTAAGTTGGGTGACTACCCCGGTCCTGTGATTTGTCCAAGAAGGTTTTTCAATTTGTCTACTCCTTTAGTTGTAAGACTTGTGATGATGACTCCCAAGCTCTTTATATGTTGAAACGGAAACCAGAAGCCCTTAATGACCAAGTTTTCACAGTTAAATTTGGGAGATAATAGAGTGCTACTTGTAGCTTCCTTAATGGTTAAATATAAAAACTTATATCCTGTCAACAGCTGAAAAACTAAAAATGGCTATTAGAGTCTGCTGTAATGGCTTATAACTCTCAATACCCAGATGTCTAAAAGAACATGAGGGAAGTTAACATTGAATTAAAGAATGGAGGGATGTTTTCAGGTATCTTTTTTATTTAGCATGTGCTGGAAATATAAGGTGTGTTCTCTAGACTTCTTAATTATAATACCAATGTGTTGTCCTGTAGAGGACCTAGGATGGAGGCCAGCATTCAAGCTCAAATTCTAGAGCTTTTCTTGAGTAACTTTTTCTTCTGACATCTCTACTTGTCCATCACTGTAACATGTCCAAACTGGTGCCTGGAAAAGACTTTTTGTGGACATTGATTTGTAACGGTATAATTACATAAAAGTACCTAAGAGAAAATATCAGGCACCTATAGTCCAGGGTGCTTGACCTCATGTCAAAATGATGGTATTTTGTTCGCTTGGTCAATTGCTTGCTTCTCAAATTTTTAAACAGACCATTTTTTTTTTAACATGAACTAAAATAAGCTCTAAATACTGGATCACCCAAAGCATTAGAAATAGCACTTTGGATGTATCCCAGTCGATGTTAATTCTAGCAAGAACTCCAACCAGAATTGGTTTTTTCAGATGCAGTAGTGTTCGGACATGTCCAATATTAAACCAGAGTAGTTTCTGAAAGGATGCAAATCATTTAGACTATTACTAAAGTATCTAACCTAGAGATAATTCTGTCCCAGGTAGCTGATTTAGTTCATACTTTCAACCAGAAACTATTGAAATTGATGTTACCATTCACTGTGGTGCCATTTTGGAAGGAAAAGATGTAACTTTGAAGACTATGGATTCTGAAGATCATACTAGATCGTCTGTGAGACACCAAAAGCCTTGATAAAGAAGAAAATCAAAGTTTGAAAGGAATTGCCTTATGTCTGGGAAATGAGATACACACATCTGTTTATCTTGTGTATCATTGAATAAAGATTTGAAAGAACCAATGAATAAATGACTCCTTTGTTTTAATTGCCTAGGGAGAATGCCAGCTCCCAGGAGGAGCCAGAGGAATGATGGTATATGTTTCAAGGCTATGGATTGGGGACTTAATGTTCACTCCCAACTCTGCTTTTTATAGAGATTGTGTCCTTTGGCAAATTTTTCTCTGAGGCAAAATTTCTTGAATAAGAAATTAAGCCCAGAATAAGCCTTTAATTTGAACTTCTGAGTATATGTTGAGTAATTTGAACCAATTTACAGGTTAATACCTTTGGTAAAATACTCTAGCATCCTGAATGTCTGATATGCGTACAATGATTACAAGATTACTGGCCAACTAGAAAAGCATGTGACATGGTCACATTGGGTGATGAGCCAGGTTGGTAATGAAGCAACAGCAGGCATGGTGACCTGGATTTACTAGTACTTGGGGTCTGCTTCCCTTGCCAGTTCTGTGTTTGAATTGCTTTGTGCTGATAGTATTCACCTTTGTTGGGAAAGGAAAAGGAGGTTTCAACTAAAGCTGTCTTTCATGTTTTTGTTTTTTTTTTTTTTAATAAAGAGACCATGGAAAGGCACAAATCAGTTTTCCCTTTCTAACAATGCTCCCTGATATCTTAGGATTTGGGGGGGAATAGGAAAAAAATTCAGTCGGAAAAAATACCTCATTTGGAAGAAAGAAGGATGGTTAAAATGAGCATTTGATTTGAAGGCTTCTCTAAAATCACTGACAGGTAGGTTCAGGAGATGTGTTCTTGACAGCTTTGTTGGCCAAGGCAGGCTTCTGATGTCTGCTGGGTGTAAAGCTGTGTGCAGTCCCTGGGAGGGGCCGGGCAAGGATGCTGTATGTTCCCAGCACAAACTTCCTTGTTACAGCAGGGACTATTACAAGCTGTAATAGTGGTCTCTCAGCGCTGACACCAAAAGGGCAGGTAGATGTGCAGGTTAGCTCCACTTGTTTGTCCACGGGCTGGAAGGATGAGCATATAAAGCAAACAACTTAAACTGTCCAATTCATGCTGCTGTCATCTCTTCTTTGGAAGCATCATTGGCCCTGAAGTCTGAATCCCATTTCTGTGCTCATGGACTGATACCAGATGACTCCACAACGTTGGATCTCTGTCCCCATTGGGCTTACAGTGGACACCTCAAACCCTCAGAGCCAGGCGGATGCCTAACCTGGTCTGTCGTGGAGCTGTGTTTTCTGAGGGCTAAGGGATTCTGAGGGCAAAGGAACAGAAACAAGGAAGATCACCAGAAGGTTTTGTTCCTTGTTCTTGCACAATCCTCTGAGCCAAATGTACTCACACACAGCAAAAGTTGTGTGTGTGTGTGGCAATTTGTTATTTGTGTTTTTTTCAGAGCGGGGAAGGAGAGACAGTTCTTTCTTCAGGAGAGAAAATGTCAATGTATTCACCACACATAACCCCCACATACCATTAACATTCACCAAGTGTGAATTCAAACAAAAAGTAGCCTAAATTAACTGAGAAGGTATCTGAAATGTCATTTCAACACATGGTGAGGATGGAGAACTGTGACAATTCGGCTTCCTGTAGATCTGGGCTATCAAAAGTGGCGGAATTTCTCAGGATGTTCTGGGCTTAATCACCAATTAAAATCAGCAACAACAATGAATTTGCCCACACCCTAGGAAATCCATTTTCTTCTTGGGAATGAAAGGGGCTAGAATCCAAGTCGTTTTTCATTTGACAAAAATGATGAGGAATTGATGGCAGTCTTCCTACTGCTAAAAGGAGGTCAGAGCAGGAAGCCAGCCAAGCACACTAGCAAGACCTGCTGGTTTCTGTTCTCATTTAGAGCCCAGGACTGTAGATGAATGAGCTTGGGGGATTAGGGCTGAAGACCTGGGAACGTGAGCCTCCCAACATGGACTTCTGGAGGGCAAGTGACATGTTAGTGCTGGCAAACATAAGGTTCTCTTTTTCCCATTTCTCCTTTCATTTGATTTTAATGGGAATGAAGGGGAAGCTGAGTTAAGGAATACATACACATTCAGCAATTGTGTATATTTATGGCTCTAATAAGTCTTTTCTAAAACTATTCTATTCAGGCTTTCCCTGGTGGTATAGCGGGTTAAAGCACCGCCTTAGGAAGCTCTCCAAAGCCACCGCAGCACGAGTTTGATCCCCAGCCAGGGAAATGATCCACATGGCATGGCAGGCCTCTTCTGTCTCACCTGCTGCTCCCCTCAGCATTGTATATTGTCAGTCTGCCTGTTCTGCTCCCCACTCTGTCTCTGGTGAATCTTCTCACCCACCACACCTCTGGCCTGTACTCCAGTTCTATAAGCAT